AATTTCAAATCTCGATTGATTCAATCATACATTTAAATGTAGCTCAGTGGTACTGCACGTACTCATTGTTATATGGCCTGGCGTTTTACCTTGTCTGAAACATCAATCTACTCAGGTTTGCGGTGTTACCTTATTTTATAAAGAAAAAAAAATAGAAAAAATGGAGTAATCTTCAATTTTTATAAAATAAAGCTAAGGTAAAGAATAAAGCATGACTTCTATAAACAAAAAAAACTAAATCATTGTCAAAGCAACAAGCAACGTCAATTAAAGAACGTATTATAATTTAGAAATATTTTTTTATCCAAAAAAGGTTTATACAAAATCAGTAAAGAGTCGAAAAATTTCATTCATAAAGTTTCATAATATTTATATAATTATTTTTTTTAATATAAAAATATATACTTAAAAATTAGTGCAAATGATAAAAACGTGGAGTTCATCTTTTATTTTGGATAGAACTTCGCTCAAATTAAAGTCCCATTTACTTTTATAATAAGACGTCATACAATTTTAGCAAAAGAGTATTAAAATTTTCAAATATTATCGAAAGGATTTAATGAAATAACTAATATGACATTAAAACAACTAATCAGCTAAAAAAAAAGTGCATTAGCATATTATTATTTTCTAATTGATAAGTAAACATTTGTAACATTAATTTATTTATTTTGTTGTCATCTACAAAGTCATTCTTTATTCTTTATAAAGTAAAGGTAGACGAGCAATTCTAGTTGAGATTCCTATCATGTCGTCCGAAATGGATTATATCAAAACATTAGTATCAGCACAAACATATTTATATCAATATGGTGCTACATTTTTGATCTGCATTGGTAGTATTGGTTGCATACAACGTTGTTAATCTCTATCAAATATGTGTAGTTCTGTCAGAACTAATGCTAACATACGGTTATAGCATTAGTACTGCGTCATGGAGTAACAGTTTTTGTCGTTTTACTTATTTTAGCGGATATGTTGTTGATATTCTTAGTTCATTTTATTTGATTTTGGCCTCAACTGACCGAATGTTATGTACCTCACGAAATGCACGCATTCGTCTGTATAGTAATCGTCGTGTTGCATATACGTGTACTATCGTTGGTACAATATGTAGTATGTTATTTCACAGTCCTGCATTAGTTTTCGCCAAGATCATAGAAATTATACCGAATTATTATACCTGTTATTCGCCTTCTAACGGTTATTTAGCATTTATAAACTATTATGAATTAATGAAAGTCATCCTCATACCTACACTTATGATTATCTGTGAAATATATACCATCAAGAACATGCAATCTTCACATCGTGCAAGAGTTAATCCTGTGTCAAATACAGTGGGTACTGTTCTGAATCCTGGTCGTCCTAAAGATCTTCAACTGATCAAAATATTACTTGTCAATATTACTGTTTACATTATTTTCAATTTGGTGCCCGCAGTTATTTCTCTGTATCAACAAATCGTTCAATATCAAAGTAAAAGTTTAGCACAAAGTGAAATGAATTCGTTTTTAACGACTGTAAGCGATGTTGCCGGTTTTATTCCAATATGTATCAGTTGTTACATTAATTTAATCGTATCGAAAACATTCAGAAACGAAATCAAAAATGTGCTTTTGTGCAAATAAACTATTGTCTATGTTCGTAAACGTGAAATACACTTATGTTTTTCTTTCTTCTTACATTTTATGTATACATTTATCTTTTCATTAATAAAATTTTATCCTTGAGGACATAGTTTGGCATAACGGTTCAGCATATTACAATTGCATTTTTCTTTGCATATAATTGGAATTTCTTTACATTCAACTTATTTTAGCACTGTATAAGGTTGGCTCATTTTCAATTGAACAGAGAAGTGTTACGAACATATAAGACAAAATTAGACATGTGATCTGATCTATATACATAAACAATAGTTTTAATATACGATGAAATGGAAAGTTATAGAAATAATAATGAGTTAGATAGGATAGAATATAAATATAAAGAATTGCAAATAGATATACAGAATGTCTTGAAAGTCGACTGAGAAAATATTGTCGTAGAACGTCTTCATCTGTCAAAACTAATTCATTCTATTTTTTGTGTACTCAGAAAGTGAGTACACATATAGAATCGGTCAGTGTGTGTGTCGATATGGGCGACTGTTTTCTTAACTCACACCCACATCCTCAGGATAAAAAAGATGTTCTAAACAGTTAAACTATATACTAGGAGTACTTCTGTTCGATAACCCCTGTTTGGACGTATAGATATGTCGACGGGACGCAAAGGGTTAAATCAAAGGATAAGAGATATAGCTGAAAAGTCATCTGAAGATATTTTATTTTATAGCCTCAATTTCAAATTGATTTAAATCAAAATATAAGGCGTAGGAAATTTTTGAACTTAGACAATCATTATCGACCGATAAGTGAGAAAATAAAATTAAAAAAAATAACTGCATTATATTTATTTCTATATTATTGAATACATCTAGTAATCTGTATTCATTTTATAGAATTTATTTTCACTGAATGGTGGAATCATAATCATTAGAATTATTTTAGAACTTCAATGACATCTTGTTGATAGAACACTAGGATATTGACGTCGAACGTTTTTCTTCGGAACAGTTGTAAGGCGTGCTTCCGTCTATTGCCAGGAAAAGCATGATATAAGAAATAAACACTCGAAGATCGGTGAAAAAAATTGAGTCGTATCTAACAACTGTCTTTGAAAATAATTTGTGTGTTTCTATGATATTGTTTAAATGAGTTTTGAAAAGTTAGTGAATAATATAATGATCTAATTGAGCAGAGGAATGCGTTCGCCTTGCTAGAATATGAGTATAAAATCAACATTTTCTTGCCTCCCCGCTAGGAATCAACGATCAGTTCATGTCATAAGTCATTCACATCATCTCAAACTGTATTCATGAGTAAAAAACACATCAAAATCAACGGTTTCATTCATTTTTCTTTTCTGATTCAAACGTATTTAAAATAATTGGAAAAGAGATTTTCTTGTTTTTCATCTGAAAAGTCTCAGTGTTAATAATATTTTTTGAATGTTCTCATGCAAACCAAACTACAGATACGTGAATCCAAAGCCGATTGAAATCGTAATAATCATAAACAACATAAACTAAAATATAATTTTCTGCTGTTTCTTTGTATATATGAATATAGTCTGAAATAATGTAAATAACTTCTGACACGAGTTTACTGCGTAATACTATTCAACAGACCATCACTAAAATAAATTGCTGATTTTATTATATATTTTTGAACAAATCACATATATGCTTTTCTCAATTGGCTGAGTGGGTGTGAGTGGAGATACGAATTGTAATGATTAAAATTGACATCTACACTCACAAGATGGCAATGTCGCAATCATCTTTTCGTTTTCTATGGATTTTTAACGTTGTAACTTAAACATTATGATTTCATAATAAATTTTCCTTCGTTTCTTGAAGGTTTCTTTTCTGATTATCAAATGTTATACTATTTAAACATAGTCATGACTTTGTCCCCATAAAGAGCATTGTGAATTAAAATATTTGAACAATTGCAATACTAATCTACTTAATTTTCTCTCTCTTGTAAACAACATTAAAAAAAACAACTCTGTTTTAGTCGTTTCCATGTCTATTGCGTCTTTCCCGTTTCTATATATTTTCATATTGCGAGAGAGAGAAAAAAAGAAACGGAATAGCAGAACAGGTGTGAAACGTAGTCTTGTAATAAAATGAGAGTCGTGCGTTATCAACATATCAATTTTTTTCATAAAGCTAAATGCAAGCTGGAGTGAATACAAATATTCATATTTTTTTAGAAAAACTTTTCTCCATTAAATTTTGTTTTTCTTCTATCAGTCTTTGGAGATTGCGCGACGATTGTAACTGAGAAACGACTTCTACATGATCTTTCGTTAAAGAATTGATTACAATTTGGACTGATAAATATTCTGCATAGCTGTCTTTCCGATGTATCATGACATATAAAACGTGTCTAAATTATTTTATGAATTACTTTTTATTTATTCTAGATAGATTTCAATTACCGAACTCGTTCAAGTTATTCCAATATCGTAAAAATCAATTAATATTCGTCGTTGTCTCGAAGGTATGTAGTTTTATCTTAGATTTATCGTATTTCGCCTTCTAATGTCTCTATATCCATCATCATCTGTTACAGTTCTAATCTGATTTGTACTTCAATCTCATTCCTTACAGTGCTTTGCGTATTCCTTTAGTACAGATAAAAATTTGCGTAGAATTAAAAACCTAGCCGGTTTAGTAAAAATTCATTACATAGTTGTATCTTGTTTTCTTTGGAAGAATTCTGAAAATAGATTCATTAGATCGATCTTTTTCTTGCGTATTTCCACTCATTAGAAATACCATTTTTCATTATAATCATCAAATTTTTCCTTTTAAATCCTTAAGGATGTGTGTGTGTGTGAGTCTCTTCCTCACCCGCACCCACACCCACACCCCACCCTCAAAGCATGTTTTCTCTTACAATAGATTAAAGCAAGGCTTACAATCGTTTCGAAACGTAGTGCTCGAAGTCAGCATTGCCGTACGGCCATATTGAAAGAGAACAAGTTCTTGAAAAATAATTGCAATATTCAGTTTTGTAATGACGATTTGGAAGCGTCTTTATGTATCGCTCTGCAAGTTTAACTTGTACGAAATCGATAACTCTTTGATAGTCAATGATCAATTATTAGCAACTCGATTGTTTATTATTCTTCTGAATATCTCAGTTGTCATTGTCACTTTGTTTGTTACGTTGAGCATGCAAACACACGTCATAACTGTCACATTACCTTCGCTTAATGAATTTGAACATCTCACCGATGAGTATGCAAATATTCTCGTTTGCCCTTGTTCACAAACCAATATTCGCTATGATCAGTTTATGTTATTCGATCCACTTTATCATCAAGTGTGTTCGAGTCAATTTATTTCTCAACAATTCATTTCAACACTATTCAACATAAATATGTCTCGATTTTCACCACTAGATTTTCGTCTGATGGCTATGTCTCAGTTTCAGATCTTAGCATCTCTGTGTCAAACAGCGACATGGACTATTAGTAATGATATCAATCAATTTCTAGCACAACAAATGGTTACCAGTCAAGCTGTGTCACGTGAAGTATTCGAGGCTCAAGTTGTAGCACTGATCGAACAAATGCAAACGACAACAGTAGCAAATGTGCAATACATCGATCAGCTGGTGTCCCAGATTATTGCCGGCAGTCAAATTATGTCAGCTTTGAATAACAATCGTTACCTCATCCAGAATCCGTTATTGTCGAGTTTCAGCATTAAACACGGAGCCTATTTAGTTGGAAATTATGCTATCAGCAACGCCTCCAATCCAAGTTATATCTATTGCGATTGTACGTTCATGACAAACTGTACTTATCAAGCTGGTTACTACAACTATTCCATTCGTCCTCCACAGGGTGAGACCACTTTATATAAGCCCTCGCCACCACCTATATTTATCGTGCCTGGTATGCTAGTTGGGTGCCTGCCTCATGATTCAATACTTCAGTCAACACTGGAATGTTTTTATAATCGTTCATGTCTCGATCTCATTGGTATCTCGCAAACAACCATCCCACTCAATGCGACTGCTCCATCTCGCTTTCGAGTCAATACAACCGTCAATGCTATGTTTGAGCAGCTTTTCGTTGAAACGTGGCAAAATTCGAGTAATTTCACTAGTTACTACAATGCATGCCATCCGAAAACATGTTCCTACACCTATACACAACGTGGTAATTTTCTTTATGCAATGACGATGCTGCTTAGTCTCATCGGAGGTCTCACAACAATACTCGGTATTCTTGTTCCTCTTCTCGTACAATTCTTTCGTCGTCTACTAGTTAAATGCCGAGGTGATACAATTCCTACAATAGAAAATGATGCTGCAGGTAAGACACTTTTTTATTTTTCCTGTTTTGATTCATTCTCACGAAATGATACTGAAGAATTGTCTGATTTATTCTATTTCTAAACAAGAAACTGTGAGAGTCTTGAATTGTTTTAGTGCCAAGCATCAGAGAACGCCTTCTCAACCTCATCCGTCGAGTTCGTCAACTAATCAGCACATTGAACGTGTTTGAAACTTCCTTTTCTACCGTGAATCTGGGAATTCAAACAACGCGTCTCTATATTTTTCTAACATTAATGGGTGCATTCATTCTCTTCAGTTATTCAATGTTGACTGTGACTACGATAAGTGTTACCATACAACAACCTTCTTCGGATACCTTCGAAAAACTGTACTCTCAGTATTCATCAACACTCGTATGTCCTTGTACTCGTTTTTTTGTAACCTATAGTGAGATAATGACTGTTACGCCTCATTTTCACCAGATCTGCTCAAGCGATTTTGTCCGTGATGATCGCTGGTTACTCTATTTTCAAGTAGTGTCATCAGTAAATACGGCACAAAATTCGAACGATGTCAGTTTTTTTGCTAGTGATTTTCGTGGAGGTTCCGGTTCTAGTCTATTTTATCTATTGAAAACATTGTGTGGAACAGCCAAAACAACTGTTGTCAATGCCGCAGCTGTTTTCGGCGGTACAAAACTAGTAAATGTATATCCGATGTCTCATGTATTATTCGAAAGGAAGACGATCGAATTAGCACTACAATTTCAACAAGAAACACAAGGTTCTTTTCTGATTCTGTTCTCTCAACTAAGCACGGCAATTCGAGATAATCAATTCTACAACCCCGCAAGCGAGGTAGCTAGTTTAATCGTTACGTCCGATCGTATAAATGTTCAATTGCGTATACAAAACATATATCCTTCGAGTTCTAACTGCTCATGCGCTATATCCAGCAAATGCACTCGACCGCAAGGGTTCTATTGCAGTGCTAGCGCATGCCATACTCGCAACGCACAACCAAATATCACTATGTCAGGTATGTTTTTGAGCTGTACATCTATAGACTCGTTGCTACTCTCAACATTTACCTGTCTCTATAACCAATCATGTATTCAACTTCTGCTCGATTGGCGTTTATTTGACCTCAATGGAAAGATTGCGCCAATTGATCCACGTGGTGCCAACACTACAGCACTCGACCCAGATTTACCCAGTCGATTTTTACCCAGTTCCACATTTGAACCATTAGTACTGAATATGTTTATCGAAAACTGGACATTATCCAATAATTACAGCACCTACTATACAACCTGCAACCCTGATAGTTGCACATACACATACGATCAACGATATGCTCTTGTTACTGCCATTACGGTTCTCATCGGCTTATTAGGTGGGCTCAGTGTTGCACTACGATTGATTCTACCACCTTGTGTAAAACTGGTTGTGGGTGTTTTTCATCGTTGTAAGAAAGTCGAAAGATTACGTAAGTTCATATATTTATATCTCAGTGTATCATACGTGAAACAGATGTTTTTTCTAGTCTCTTACTCTTATAATAAGGGTAATTATCGTCATCTTGTTATTTGTAGAATTACAGTAGTTTCCAACTTCGATTATTACTGATCTTTAATATTGATCGATAGGAGTGTAGCAAATCCAAATCTATTTATTTAGAAACGAGCTATTACTGCAATTGTTGAAAAGATACAAGTAGTCCTTCGATATTATGGCAGAAGAGCTTTCGTTGTGCAATAGTAAACGGCAGAAAATATGGTCTAGACTCCTTCCACTATATCGTTTAGTAATCAAAATCAGTTATTTTGGGTTATATGAATAAAAATGATGTAATCGACTCTAGGTCATACAAAAACTGACGGCACCCCATTTGACTTCAGTTTCCTTGAAAGTAATAACAACAATATTGTCCAATTATCAGCATACGAAGAAGCTGTTTTAAGTTAATAACACTTCTACAATCTTAGTGCAATCACCTCATGATTGTATTATCTCCTTCGATAAACAAAATTATTGTAGCCTGGAAAGCAATATTGTTTAGGTGAATAATCAACTTCTTTCATCATCTTAGATCCAGAAATTATCGAGCGCAACAAACAACGGTGCTTACTATTAGTTCATGCACGGAATACGTTGTTGAACATAGATGTTTTCAAGGATAATGTCCCAGTGGAACATGTTATCGACACAAAAAAGCCTAGTCGATTCTATGTTATTTTGTTATCTCTAGCTTTCGGTTCCATCATTTTTTTCACAAGTTTTAGTCAACAAACACGCACTATCACAGTTCTCTCACCATCTCAAACAACATTTTCACACCTGCAAGATCAATACAAGTCAAGTCTCTCATGTTTATGTTCACAGGCTTCTATTCAATACGATGAATTTCTCTCGATTTCACCTCGTTTGCATCAAGTATGTTCTAGCGATTTTGTTGCAGAACAATGGTGGGGTTTTCTCTGGGGAACGGATTCTGTGAGCAATTTTCGGGATCTTCAACTTCTTAGCATTCAGTTTCGTGTTCTTGCATCATTATGTACATTAACACAGCAGTCTATCGACAATGACAAAAGTGCATTCCTTACCAATAAATTAGTCACTCTAGAAGTAATCTCATTCAGCTCATTTCAAGCTCAAATTGATTCTCTTACAGCTACATTTATTGCTCAAACACCAGACAAATTTCGCCGTACTCAATCGTTCATTCATGAAACATTTCGCGCAAATCAGCTGCTGGTTGTATCTGAAACAAATTGGCAATTAGCTTTCACAACTGCAGCAGATAATTACGTCATTGCCACTGTGCCACGTAATTCATTTGGAACTAATTACTCATGTATTACATCATTAGACAGTTTCTCACGACCATTATATATTGATGCGAATTATAACACAACAGTATTACCTGGTGTGGTGGCTAGCTGTATACCAGTTGATGGTATTCGTTTGTCTACTCTAGAATGTTTCTTTAATTCAAATTGTATTCTTAACTTGACAAACATTGCATCCAAACGCACTACCACTATTTGGATTGCCAAACCGCTCAATGCTTCAACACCTAGTATTTATTCATTGAATACCCTCATAGGCAACCTCGTTGATAGTTTATTCGTGGAAGATTGGGGTGTTAAAAGTAATTATTCAAGCTACTTTGCTTTCTGTGCTCCGCATTCGTGTTCATACGAATACATTGATCATAACACAATACTCTACATAATCACAACTGTACTTGGACTGTATGGTGGTTTGGTAGTGATTCTTCGTTTTATTGTCTGGTATGGATGGCGTATGTATCGAAAGATAATAGGATGGATGCAAATCGCTCCTCGTTTAACATCACCACGAGTAGTTCCTTCTCAACCAACCATCAATATTGAATGAGAACTAAATCATGACTTTTAAAAACAGAACATTCTTTGTATTGCTTCTTGTCTCATCACTTTTTATTTAATCAATAAATAAATGTTATAAAAATCAAATCGATTTCCTACTATTTGCTTATCCTGGCTGAAGTAATTAAAAAAGAAAAAAGAACGTAAACAAAAGTGAAAAGTCACCTTATTTCCAACAGTGTTAGATCGTTAGAATCGCGATGTTAGCTACGATGAAGAGCTGCCAGCGCTAGGATGTGGGTGTGATTGATGAGGGGTGGCGGTATCTTTCTTTCAGCTACACACACACCCTCAATAGTTTTTGAAAATCGAAATCTTCGTTTTTCTCGCCATCCAAAACTGAAAATATTCGGTACACTTCCATTGATTATTCTAAATCGAAAGTAGCTGATAATGCTGCAGTTATATTTCGACTTAACAATGAATTCCATTTCGGTTTAATTAATTCAATTTTTACTGATACAGATAATGATATTTTACTCGAGCTATGGTCTATTTCAAACGCAAAAGTCTTAAAGATTGTTATAAATGGTCAAAATATCGATGTGCCACTGATTCAAGAGGGTACATTAGAAAACCATAATAATTTTTATTATATTCCAATCCATGATATTATTGAAAAATGCGTTTACTGGAGAAAAAAGTCTATTCAAGCTTTTTTCCGTTTTCCGAATCTTGAAGAATGATCTTAATATTTGACAAAGTTTGGCTTTATTTCGTTAAAATAAACACATGTCTTGAATTAATTAACATTTCCAGTAGACTTAAGGGTGGTTAGTTGATGAAACTTCACGGAACAATAACCGATCTAGAAAAAGTTGAAATGCGATAAAACTGAGATTATTCAGTAAAGCGCGTTCAAATATCTCTCACATGAAAACGAAAATAGTATTTAACAGTCTATAACGAATTAATGAGCGTTAAATGGTAATATATTACAAATATTGAATTAATCTATTTTTATAAACAAGGAAAATAATCATAAAAATCTTTCGGTAAGACAAGCAATTGACCAAATACGATTTGTTTGATCTGACTACAATTAATTTGTTTTGCATCATTTGTAAAATTATTTGAGACAGTAACTAATTTATCATATTGTATGATAAGTGTGTGAAAAGTTAGTAAATACGTATTTGTATAACATAGAAATTGATCAACATAATCCATATGTGCATAATTTAGGTTGAGTTTAAATAAATGTAAATATGAAATTTTTGAACAGATTTGTTTATCATCTACTGTTGCAACTTGACGTTTATTTTTCTGTGGTGTTGAATTGGCAATGTGTAAATCTTTGAGTGATGGACATGCTTGTGATAGCCATTCGAAAAAATCATGTTCAAATGGACGTGTATCATATAACGATAACTTAGTAACATATGAGAAATCTTGACCACGAAAACTATTTGAAAGACATATAAAATCAGTCATTTGAAATGGTGTCGAATAAATATGACAATAACTATATCCGTCTGAAAAATGGTCGATACAACAACTAACTGAAGAATATTTCCAATTAAGAAATGTATTTTTAATATCATTCGTTGTTAAGAAATAATTCGTTTCAGAAGTTTTTGAAATGGTACAAATATGGAATACAAACTTATTTAAATATATCATATGAATAAGAAGTTGTTCACTAAGATGTAAACCGTCAATAATAGTTAATTGTTCTATATAGAGATCGAAAGTGAGAGTTTCTAAATTCGGCATTCGACGAAGAAGTGGTAATATTCGACAATCATAAGCGTTTTTGTTTTTATAGCTAGTTAATGAGAATTCTTTGAGATTAGATAAAATTTTCTATTGAACAAGAAAAGAATAGATTAATTATATTCGAACAAAATAATTCGCTTACTTGATTATTATTGTCCACTGTTGATCTACTAATGGAATCAACGCCTACTGTAAAAGAACGTAATTGTTCTAAACGACCATCAAGTAGACAAAGACAATCATCAAAAGTATCCACATTAATAAACAAAGTATGTAAATTTAAAGAAAAACAAACATTTAGTGATTGATCATGGATTGAAAGGTATCCATAGTTGGTTATTAACGATTGATTTATATTCAAATATGACAAATTTCTACAGATAGCAAGTATACGTATACATACATCTGTGAATGATTGATTAGTAAACATTCCTTTTTCGTTCTTGACAGTTAAATGTTTTATCTGTTGTTGAAACAAACGAGAAATGGGCGATTCATCTAATCATATGATTAAATACGATATTCACAATTATGAATAAAAAACGTTTTATTTACCTGTTAAATATAGTAAAAGAATATCTGGTAAAAAATTGGTTAAAACAATCGCAGTAAGATTAGAATATTCGCAAGCAAGAAGAATACGTTCCATAGAAAATATTTCAAGAGTAAGTTCTACAATGTTATGTTGTATTTGAGGTAATATTTCACAACAAAATCGATCAAGTTGAACATTATTCATTGAAAAGTTTAAGAATTTGGTATTGTCAACACTTCTTGCCATTTGATCAAGTCGTTTATTAACATTCAATAATGAATAAAGAACATCAACAGGCCCAAGTTTTGTCAAAATAATAAGTAATATTTCATCAGGTAAATCAAGCAAATGAACTGTTCTACAATTCATACCTATTAAATATCGATTGACTTTTCTTATTTTTCTGTTCAATTATATACCGTATATTTATAAGTATCTACCAAACGAATGTATTTCTTCCGCTGACATCGGGAGAAAACTGTTTTGCTATTTATTTATTACATGTCGGACTGAATTGCGGACGAATATATCAATTTTTTATAGTCCGCTAATACAAAGCAAAAGATTATGTTGTTGACAATATCGTTGTTTGAACTTTTTCATCTATCGAGATATAAGTTCAACAATAGTTGATGCATCTTATACATCGATAAAATCAATTTCTGTATTAATCATTAAATATATCTACGTTATTATAAAATACTCTTCATTATCATTATTTCTTATATTAAAATTCTTCTCAATTTTAATTTGAGGGTGTGGGTGTAGTTATTTGATTTCATTCATGCCCACACCCTCACGCCCCCCCCCCCTTTTTTTGTCAAAGTTGTCTTAGATGATATGACTATATAGCTTCGCCTAAAAAAACATGGTTGCAATTAAGGTGAGATAAAAATAGAACTGATAGAAAAAATGCTCAAATTCAAATGTGTCTATTTAGAGTTATGTAAATGTAGTAGTTCTTGAATTTTTGGGTACAAGGCGTCATCCCATATTTGATATCCATCAGTATTTAAGTGCACATCGTCCTGTAGATACTTAAGTCCAATCTGTTTAGGCGGCTCCATCCAATGAACCCAATGATCTTGTTGTGCATGCTTTTGCATTTCTGCTATATTAGTCTTTACGACAAGTTCTTCTAGAGCTGTATTCGATTGTGTAATATATTGTTCGTCTACTTTTTTTTGTTTAAATAAGCCTGTAACAAGTATTTGAGGTGGAGTAGACCATGTCATAAGTAGAGCTTGTAATAGAAGACAGTAATCATCGAGATTTTGATGTGTCAATGCTTGTTTCGGTTGAATATCGTTACCACCTAAGTACAATACGAAGACTGTCGGATTTCTAGGTTTTAACAATCGAAGTAAACCCAAATTGATGCGATAAAGTACATTTTCAATCTTGTCTCCTCCTACACCTGCATTAAAAAGTTGTGGATACTGCATTTGACCAATTCGACTGTCTTTTCCTGTAGTTTTAAAGCGTTCAAGCATAGAACTACCAAGAAGAACAATATCAATCTGTGGTAGATATTGAGATGATAGTAATACAGAAGAAGTAGTTAACGTAGGACTCTCTAATTGTGGTTGATGTGTTTGAGTATGTGTATCATGCGATCGCTGTTTGAAACGAGCTCTTTGATTGATACGATCGTAAAGTTGCGTGCTAGTAAGCTGTTCAGTATGTAACGATGCTGATGACATTTTAATTAGTCTTAATTTGAGAGAAATTGTAACCAATATTTTCTGTGTGATACAATTGCTCTTTATATATGTTAAACAATATAAGGAAGAAAAACTGATGAATATGAGTCAGTATTGTGCAAATCTATTCTGTTCTCCATCATCACTATAAAATATGTATGGTGTCGAGTAGAACAATATTGCACAACATCGACGTCATATTCGCAACGTTAAAATATTCAAAGGAAGAAAAATATGTCTACTCAGACAAACGTTGAAAAGCATGACGTTTTTATGCGTCAAAGAAAAAACGTTTTTTCGCTGAAAAAGCAAATGATGAGCGAACATGTAAATTCGATTTGTTAAATCTAAATAGTTTTTCTTTTAATTGTGATATCATTTCCGATTCTTTATTCGTTGTTATTTCGTAAAAAAACACGAGACTTTTTTCAATAAAATAGCTTAAAATATTTCTTGAATAAATAATCCAATTAAAATCTGTATTTTGTCAATCTATTGAAGAGAATTGATTTAAAAAAGATGACTCTTTCTCATATCATTTGATCTATAGATGAAATAAAATTTTCTTTGTTATAATCAGAGAAAAGAAAATTGATGAATAAATATTTTGAAGAAGTTTTTCTAGTTTATAAACTTTCGAGAGATAATTGTATATATAACAATTAACCTATTGTGTTTGTTCGAAGACGCAAATAAAGAAACTATTTGAGAAGAAGAATGTCATTTATCTTTTTGAATAAATATCTTGACAAATGATCCGAGAGGTATAATAAATCGTTAAGAAGTTGTATACATTTGACCCAATGACAATTGTATCTAAGATTCATTTTTCGCATGATTCTTAGATGATTTTAGTTGGATGTTTAATCAGTTAATTAATGATGAATCGAAGTTATAAATGTCTGAGTGTTTGATAACATGGATTCAATTTAGAAAAAAAGAGGCGGCTACCAATTTTAATTTTGCTAAGTCAAAATACATTCTTTAAAATTTATCCCTTAACTAATCGTTCTATTAAACAATTTCCAAATTCTGAAGAAGAAGATGACGTTTTATTTCACCTCATTCAACATTTTTTTTGTCTTGGATTCTGTTTTATAGATTGACGATAGAATACTCTTGTTCGTCTCTTAAGAAACAATAAATGAAGATCTGAAGTCAGATTTTGGACTTAACATGTATATTCTATCCACCAGTTCATCGTATATCTCTTCGTCGAATCAATAATTTTCTTTTTTATTCCGTCCAGTGACGTGCTCAGCGCGGCCGTGACCTTTTGCTATTTCTCGGCTATTGTTTTGTTTGGAATCTATGCCTAACTGAAAATAGACTGACCTCGACCATTTTTTGTATATGTTGACCGATTGCACATTTCCTATATATACGTGTGTGATCGGTCAATGGCAGTCATTCGAATTTGGATTATTCCACAAGTTGACACGAGATACATTATCAAAACAACTACAATGGATAATATTTCAGGTAGTAGATTTTATTGCTTCACTCAAGCTGAACTACATATGTTCGAATTGTCTAAACCAGAAACAATTTCGTTGAGTCTATAAGGTGCCAAGAAAGTTTTTGAACTAGCATACAGTGAAATAATCTTGTTATTAATCAACATGTATTTATAACGTGAAGAAAAAGTTTTATAACTCTGATAATCTTATTTTCTAGCCATTGTTTTTGATTTAGATCTCATTGACCGAGAATGCGAAGAAATATTGAAAGATCCATGTAAAATGATGACGTTTCGTCGATATCTTTGTCGCTTACATCACCGTAAAAAAAAATCTCGTATTTCCTCTTTTACTCCATGCCAACTAGAACGGTTTGAGGCGTTATTTGCCCAAAGTCGCTATCCAGATTTGTTCAAACGCGAGGAACTTGGTTGGGAACTAAATATCCCCGAGTCCAGAATACGCGAATGGTTTGAAGAACGACGTATGCAGTGCAGACGACAAGGCCTTGGGGCTGAATCCTCATCAATTGCTGGATGTGCGTGTGGAATGGGTGCAGGATGATCGATTATAGACACGAGGATGTGGGTGTTTGTGCCTATATTCGCACAACCCACACCGTCATATTCAAAGACATTTGATCGTTTGAATTAAAAATAAATGTTCTTTTGTTTTGTATAATAAATATTCTTGTCATGTCCATGATCTATGAAAACATCGTAACAATTTTTCATCAGGAAATATAATACATTCTGTTGCATCTTGATAATATTTTCCCATATTTGGAATTTCTCTTTCTTTCTCTTCACTACTTCGTTGGTTAATACATAATGCATCAATCCATACATAATCATATCCTAATTCATGACAAACGTGTACTGCACTTATTAAGCTTTCGACAGTAAATGGAGATATACGTTCCAAGAAGTAGTCACTTTTTAGATTTCTTTCATCCATTATCCAAACATATGATACTGTACAATATTTTAATGGTGGTTTCGATGGAATAAATACAAGTTTATCATTATTAACTATGCTTTTAATATTGACTAAACGTAGTGGTCTTCCAGGATAAGATTCTATTTTATTAGACCAAATATGTTCATAATGAATCAGTATTTCATTTATATTGGTTGCTGACATTGTATCTGTAGGATGTAAATTAAAATATAACGTAGAAATCTAAATAATTTATAAACTTAACAATATACATATATTCCTTCTACATTATGGGTGTCATCTTTATAATACTGACTCATATCAATGAGAATAGATGTATGAAATTGATGCATCACAATAGTTCAGTATCGCTTGTATTCATTCATAAGTTTTTAAGCGTTTCGTCTATATATACTGTCGATATCAAATATACGATTACCATATATCCTCATTTTTTTGAGGGGTGGATGAAAATTTGTTGTGATACCTTCATCCAGAGTTATTTGCTAATTATTCTGAGAATGCATCCTATTCCGCGATGTTGAACATTGGAGGAATCAGTTCCGTACCGGAATCGATTCCGTCCAATTCTGGGAACTCGATCGACACACAACATAAGACACCCAGTCGAGATTGATCGAGTTCGACCGATTCCGGAATTGCACGGAATTCCTACCGATTCCGGAATTCCGTACCGGAATCACACCATCCATCTCACCCACATCTGTTGTGTTGTGTTGATAAGTTATCCCGTTTGGATACGATCTAATTCCGTTACGGAATTCCGGGAATTGCATCAAGACGGAATTCAGTGGAATTGGACGGAATTCCTGGGAATTTCTACCGATTCCCACCAATTCCGGAATTGCGTGAACTACTTCTAATTA